TGTTAATTCACTTTGATACTAAAATTAACTATCTGCTAAGCTTAATAAAATTACACTTAATGCGAGGACAAATATTTAATTTGTAAGCAATACTTGTGCTGCCAGCAAGTTATCCACTGAGAAATACATATATATATATATATATATATATATACATATATATTTCTTTACTTCTACCATATTGCATTACAAAACTCGAATGCCCGCCTACAGAGTGTATCTAAATACATGAGGAAAAGTTTTGCGCCGTGGACAACGGCAACTGTGAATGGCCGGGATAACGGTAACAGTAACCTAATATAGCGTAATTTGGCTTTAATGACCAGCCAGAGAGCGGGGCGTGTGACAAGGAGATGGCGATGGAAGTGGGCTACAACAAAGGCCACTCCACTCATTTTGCCGGTCCCGTTAAATAGCCTAAATAACTTAATATCAGGCAAAGAGCTGGCCGTCGCTCTGATTGAGATTCACCGGCAACGAGTTTCGGGTCAGCTTTCCTACCTATTGCTACTTAACTAAGCCAACGATATCATTTTATTACACAGCTCAATGACAGCGCCAGCCACGCCCAACGCCCTAAATGGATAAGACCGGGGCGAAATTTTAGAGCTGAGAAAATGCTGCTGCTAACTAGTTGAAAAATTTCACTTTCGATGGGGCTCGACTTTAACTCTTAGCTGCTGCTGCTGTTGCTGCTGCCACTTGGCCAACTGCCACCTGCCATAGAACTACCATAGCCACCTCCACATCGCGCGCACTTCCAGCTCAAAGGCCATTAACGTGTTTCGTTTCATTTAACTTTTACGCTCGATGTTGTCCCCAGCCTCCTCGAGGGAGCAGCGGAAGAGGCGGAGGGAGCGCTGCTATTTAGCACAAGCGCAGAATTGTCGCTCCCGCCCCACACCATACACCACACTCCACACCACCCACTGTTGGTGGTATTTTTGTTACACTTTGGGCCCATGAAACGAAACTTTTACCTGCTGCATGCTTGACCCAACAAAGGACGACAACGTCGAATGAAATGCTCCAGAGTTGGCGGGCCCAACGGAAGAGAGATTGGAGTGTTTGGGTGTTGGAGGTTGATGCCACCGCTGCTGCTGCCGCTGCTGCTTTGGTGGGTTGACCTTCGCTGCTGACAGCAGCCGTCATTAACCTTTCATGATGAGGGAACAAACCGGGGCACAATCAAGCGGAACAGGTGGCAGCAAGCATGCTGCCTGGGGAGCTTCCTGCCGACTCCTGGCAAGCAGCCATCATTGGTAGCTCGCAGCTCGGCGCAAAACTTGCTTGCTTGGCTGTCGTTAAATTTGAACTTTTGACTTGCTTTTGGTTTGGTTTTTATTATTGTTGTTGTTGCTCATGTTGTTCCTGTTCCCGTTATTGTTGGCTTTGTCCATGTCGTGTTTGTCGACGCTGTAAAGTATGTTAGGTAATTTTTGGCTTTAATGCTGTCTGGCAGCGACAGTTCGCCCAATGACCCAGTTTTGTGACTCGATCTGGGTGTGTCTGCGTCTGTCGCAACCGCAGCATTTTTGTTTAACTAACCACATGCCACGCCCACGCCCACACCCACACACATGCACACAAAACGAAGAGACAGAAACAGTCGCAAATTATTAGCAACCGCAGCTGTGTCTCTGCGTCTGTGTGCGACTGCGTCGTCGTCAGCCTGGCTGCGGTCGCTCTGCTGCTCTCAATTTGCAGCAGATTATTTCCCAAAATGCATTAGTAAAACAAAATGAAGCAGAAAGAAGCAGATTCTGTCGCTTCGAGATCTGTACACAATAACATTTAGTTTCAATATCAATAAATTCGAATATTTGCATTATTTATAGAAGACTCTGTTCACGAATATGTTCTCCATTTCATTTCATTTTTATTGCTTGAGCGAATCCGGACAAGAGTTGCATCACTCTGCACTGGCATGCTCCAAGGCCGACTCGGCTTGCATGTTGGCGCCCATTGCAAAATCAATAACTGTTTTATAATGTGCCACTGCAAATACGAATGAAGGTGAAGGGGCAATAATGGCAACAACAATGACATTGTCGTTTCAATGGCGTCACAGCCTCAATCTAACAGCTGGCAGTGGCACTGCTGAATAACTGTGCAGCTGAACAACAACAGGAACAGCATCATAAGCATAGACATCGGCATAATCATGATGGCAAACTGACTGCCCTCGAGTGTTTTATCCTTGACAAATCCTTGTGCAACAATCAACAGCAACAGCAACAGCAATAGCAGCAATAGCAGCAGCCAAATGAAAAAAGAAATTCTGAAACACTGCAAAAAAGTGCTTGAACATTACAAGGGGAATTGCAGGAGAGTAGTTAACAATGCCAAATGCGCAGCAAATGTCTAAATGAATGCACGACTGAATGCCACCAGTGGAGTGAGTAACAAGTGATGAATGAGACAAGCCCCACACGCAGCCCCACAACCACTCCTGGGCCTGCTCCCACACACACCCACACACATAGGCATATGCATGCACGATCTGCCTGAGTGGAGGTGACACTGACAATGGCGCAAATCGTGGCTTTAATGTGAATCTGTGGCCAGACAACGCGACGGCCGCATTTACCAAACTACATATAGTTGCCTAGACAAGAATAACAATGGAGAAGACAAGCAGCCGCAATTATTCAGCGTTTTAGAGCGAATATGTTTTTTATATTGTGGAATACTTATATTCATATAGTCATAGAAGGGGCTCAAATATTAGACGACAGTTTTGCCATGTCACTTGTCGAATTTTAAGTACCTTCAGTTATGAAAACGTTGAAGCGTTGCGGCTTATAGAAATTAAGTAAAGTTAAACTCTAATAGACTATGTGTAGCATACTCAAAGCTCCCAAATTTGTTCTACGTCTTAATCATTTTTTGTTGTAAATCAATTTTTAATTCAGACCATTCAGCGAGTCTTTCGATTTGGCAATTAAATGAGTGAGCAGTGTTGCAGTTGCATAAATGAATGAGTCTTTTAATCTTTCGGCCTATCAACGATTCATTCAGTTCAACAATTAATTACAAAATTGAAGTTAAAGAGTGTCTTTCCTTTAAGCGAATGAACGAGACTTTCAGCTAAGAGAAAAAACGAGAGAACTGAATAAGTGAAAGAGTCTTTCAGTTCAATGAATGAATGCATCACTTACTTAAGAAGTGAACGAGCTACTCACCTAAGACGTGAGCCAGTCTTTTAGCTTAACGAATGAACGAATCACTTACTTAAGAAGTGAATAAGTCTTTCTGCTCAAAAATGAACAAGTCTTACAGCATTGCTTAATGATCGAGCTCTTCATTTTGGGAAATGCAGACTTATAGTTCAGCAAACATAAGAGACTTTCTGTTTTACAATGAACGAGCTCGCCAGCCCAGCGAATAAACTAGCTCTTCAATATACGAAAATCACCAATCTCGTAGTTAAGCAATAGAACCAGTCTACAATTTTAGCGACTGAACTAGTTCTTCATTATTATATATCTATAATTAGTTGAGTGACTGTAATTATTTCTTAATCTCTGCAGGAAATCGAATATATTGCTATTAAATATAAAATAATTTACTATCTGTATCGCCTTAAATAAATCACCTGTTAAAGCTCAAAATTTTTACATCTTACATCTCTTATACATTTGCATACAGTTTATTTACTTCGCATTTAATAATTTGTTTGCCAAAATTAAATCCAAGTGATTTTCCGCAACAATGTTCCAAAAATATTCAACTCTCTGCACAGAATATTTCAGCTTTTTGTTAACAATTTTCAAATCGTTGCGCTTTCCGCAAAAAATGTCAACAATTAACAGTAACACAGCGCCCACAACTGCGACATGAGAGGCGTGTGCCACACCCATTTCTACTCAGCACTCAGCACTCACATCCACGGAAGCCGCAACGTTGACTCTTCAGGCTCAAAATAAGCACATGGGCGAGTGCAGGCAGCAGACAAACAATTTTGTCGAACATAAAATCGAGCACAACTTAATTAAATGTTGAAAGCGCGGCCACAGAAACTGCGGTCGGGGGCCAGGTGTAAAACAGGAAGAATCGGTGCAAATAGGCGCGTGGAGCAGAGGTGTGGGGGGGGGGTGACCGAATGACAAGCGGTGGGGTAAGACGCAAGACGTTGACAAACGCCCGACTTCATTTTCGGTGGATGGCTGTTGGAAATTAGCAAAGCTGTCAACTGTCAGCGGGTGGAGAGTCTGGCACGGGTGTGAGTGTGTGCGATGTGTGTGTGTGTGTGTGTGTGCATGTGTGCGTGGAGTGTAGAAATATGTCTACAACTTCATGGCTGGCAGGCAAAGGTAAGACAATGTGTCTCACCTGCTCTTCAACACCTTGAGTCCTCTGCGGAACTTGCCGCCCCTAAAAATGAACTTGAGCTTGAGGCACGCCTGAATGCGGCAAGTGCATGTGTTTGTCTGCCTGTGTGCATGTAAGTGTGTGTGTGATTGTAAGTTATGGCATGTCTACATCCGCTTGCTGCTGCTTGTCAGCCTGCCAGCCACCTGCTGCCTGCATGCCTGTGTGCTACCTGCTGCTCTTTGCCCTCTGCCCTTTGCCCTCTGCCCGTTAGCCCTGCTTGTCCCGATGTTTGTAATTTGTTAATTTCCCGCATTTAGAAATTAATTTTCACTTCATGCGCCGCCAAGCAGACAACAGCAGACGCAACGTCGAGTCAACTTGACTACAGTGTGGCACATAAGTATGCTTTAATGTTCTGCAGCACACCAGCCCACACGCGCGTTGCCAACATTTGATATTTAAATACTTTTATGGTCTCATTAATTTGTGAAACTTGCTTCTTGTCATTTTTTTTCACCCCTCCTTGTTGTTGTTTTCCAACTGGCAAAAGAAATCAAAAATTAAACTGAAATTACGTTCTATATTTCGGTGTAATGTAAAAAAAAATTTTTTTAGCTTCTTGTATTTGTTTGTGTATATCATCTTTGATCATTATTATATAAAAGAAACATCTACTGCACAAAATCATTGTGTAAACTTAGCAGACATGTAAAAAACTAGCAACTCCTTTTCTTACGAAATTGTATAATTCCTTTTTGAACTAAAATAATATCAAAATTTTAAAAGTACAGAACACTTTAGTATCTAGTTTTTTATTATTCGAATTTTTGGCGGATTTAACAAAATTCTTAGAAATCCAATGTCTTTATTAAAATTTTCTTCGATTACTCTAAGCAAAGGCTTATTATTTATGTATTATGTAAACCGATCGCATCAACCTGTTTTAACAAGCAATATGCGGAGACTATCGTTAAGGAAGAGTGGAAGCTTTAAATCTTATGTTGATCGATCACATCCACCTATTTTATCAAGCAATATATGGAGACTGCTGTTTAGAAGGACTGGAAGCACAAAATCCTCTGGTTGCGATGGTGAAAAGGATAAGAATAAAAAAGCTGCCGCAAAGGATCGAGCAAAAGTGGAAGCATATGAGAAGAAATGTTTGGCAATTCAGAAAAAGGCCTTGGACGAAGAATTGAAAAACTTAGGCTCCAAAGACAAAAAATTAATTCAGAGCATGATGAAGTGTCTTGCAGAGGGTATGCAAAGAGCGTGTAGAAAAAGGGCACAGCAAAAGCTTTATGAAGATAAGGTCATTGGTGCTCAATGTTTAGAATTAGAAAAAATGGACAAGCTTAGGGCTATGATAACTCAATTTGAGAAGAACAAGTCAAGTCAAGTCAAAAGAAAAAATAATGAAAATAAAAATAAGAAAGAGAATAAAAGTTGTAAAAAACAAAATGCTAATCAGAGTGAGAAGCAAAATAAGGATCCCATTAACTCAATATGTGATTCTTTGTCAAAAAAAGAAACTCCGAAAGACAATTCACAGAATATGTTTACAATAAAGTTTGATAAGTGTATGAGAAACAGGTGGACCGAAGTATGTCAATGTCGCAAACGATTCAGTAAAAAAGAAAACCGAAAGCTTGCAAAATTTCACAAGAACTTGGAAGATGAATTTAAAAAAGAATGCGAAAAGAAGGCGATAAGTGAATTATGCAAGGAAAAATCCAAGAAATCAAATAAAAAAGATAAAGACAAAAAAGATGTAAAAGACAAAAAAGATAAACCGAAAAAAGCGAAAAGTCCGGTAGATAAAGAAAAGGAAAAAAAACTTAAAGAAGAGATCCTTAAAAAAGACAAGGAAGAAGTCGAACTTATAAAATCTGAGCTTCGAGGTCTTAAGAAAAAGTGCCATGAGACCGCTAAACAGAAACAAGAGGCTGCTCAACAAAAAAAATGTGCGGAAATGGCCAAGAAACACAAGCAAGAGGCTGAGAAAAAGAAGTGTGAAGAGAAGGCTAAAAAGGCAAAAGAAGAGGCCGAAAAGAAACGGTGTGAAGAGAAGGCTAAAAAGGCTAAGGAAGAAGCTGAAAAGAAGAAATGTGCAGAAAAAGCTAAAAAAGCTAAAGAAGAGGCAGAAATGAAGAAATGTGCAGAAAAGGCTAAAAAGGCTAAAGAAGAGGCTGAAAAGAAGAAATGTGAAGAAAAGGCTAAAAAGGCTAAAGAAGAAGCTGAAAAGAAGAAATGTGCAGAAAAAGCTAAAAAAGCTACAGAAGAGGCAGAAATGAAGAAATGTACAGAAAAGGCTAAAAAGGCTAAGGAAGAAGCCGAGAAAAAGAAATGTGCAGAAAAGGCGAAAAAGGCAAAGGAAGCGACCGAGAAAAAGAAGCGTGCGGAAAAAACAAAGAAAAAAGGAGCTCAACAGAAAAAACAGAAGAATGATCCAAAATGCAAGGCTAAGGAACAGGCTCTAAAAATGAAGAAGCGAAAAGAAGCTCTGATTAAGAGGCAAAAGAAAGAAGCTGCATCGAGGAACAAGTGTGAAAAGACAAATAAAGAAACCAAAAAATGAAACAACGATAAAAGTAATGAAATTCAAAAATGTTAAGAATGAAGCGTTTCCTAACCAAATGTAGAGTAGTTTGGCTTCAAAAATGCTGACCGTTAATCCAGATCAGATTGAGATAGCGCTCTCAAAGGATTTAAGATATAAGTTAATAATAAGTGTAATGAAGTACAAAAATAAATCTAAATTATTTAAATTCTTAAACTATTTAATTTAAGCCTGAATATATAAAGTGAATATACGATGTCGCCAGCTGCATTCTTATCTCATCATGAGTTGAGTATTATTGAAATTCGACCAGTGTCCCAAAGAAATTTCATATACTATATATGAATAATTAAAATTATATCTTAATCTATCTATCCCATGTACTTTTGTCAGAAGTACTAAATTACAAAAGCTGAAAGCCTAGGATGAAAATATATATTCTTGATTATCGTTCGCAGAACAATAATATCTATATAGCTTTTTTGCTTTTCTAGAGAAAGCACAATAAGGTTTGAGATAGTCCTCCTATTTTTAAAACTCCAGAAATATGGGTAGATTTTGATTTTAGACTACATCAATCAATTCCGAACTGTGGTATTTATTTCTATATTATGAGCGAATAAAATAAAGTATGCAATATTAGGAAATCAAAAAATTTCTGCATAATTTATATTTGGAAGAATGTCTAAATCATATATTTTGCTCAGAATTCAGTATATTTAGTAACCCATTGTCAAACAAACAAGCATAACAAAGAAGGCGAACTGTTAGAAATAAATATGTCGTTGAAACAGTCGTTCTACAGTCGTTCATCTAAACACATTTAAGCTCTAATAATGTCTAAGATTAAATAAAAAAACTTACATTTTTAATTCAAAATTTCCGGTATTACATTTGGCACTAAATTCTGAGAAAATTTTCAAATGTCTTTGTATAGATGCTCATCCATCTGTATGAGGAAGCCCATCCTTAGAGGTTTTAATTTTCTGAACAGGTATATAGAGCAGCCATGTCTTCCAAGTTGTCTTAGCAGCATCCAGCGGCTGCCATTTACAACGACTGGAAGATGTTATTCACCTGATGATTCCAAGACGAATGGTTGCGATGGAGAAAAGGCTAAAAAGGCTAAAGAAGAAGCTGAAAAGAAGAAATGTGCAGAAAAAGCTAAAAAAGCTAAAGAAGAGGCAGAAATGAAGAAATGTGCAGAAAAAGCTAAAAAGGCTACAGAAGAGGCTGAAAAGAAGAAATGTGCAGAAAAGGCTAAAAAGGCTAAAGAAGAAGCTGAAAAGAAGAAATGTGAAGAAAAGGCTAAAAAGGCTAAAGAGGAGGCCGAAAAGAAGAAATGTGAAGAAAAGGCTAAAAAGGCTAAAGAAGAAGCTGAAAAGAAAAAATGTGAAGAAAAGGCTAAAAAGGCAAAAGAAGAGGCTGAAAAGAAGAAGTGTGCAGAAAAGGCCAAAAAAGATAAAGAAGAGGCTGAAAAGAAGAAATGTGCTGAAAAGGCTAAAAAGGCTAAGGAAGAGGCTGAAAAGAAGAAATGTGAAGAAAAGGCTAAAAAGGCTAAAGAAGAAGCTGAAAAGAAGAAATGTGCAGAAAAAGCTAAAAAAGCTAAAGAGGCAGAAATGAAGAAATGTGCAGAAAAAGCTAAAAAGGCTAAAGAAGAGGCTGAAAAGAAGAAATGTGCAGAAAAGGCGAAAAAGGCAAAGGAAGCGACCGAGAAAAAGAAGCGTGCGGAAAAAACAAAGAAAAAAGGCGCTCAACAGAAAAAACAGAAGAATGATCCAAAATGCAAGGCTAAGGAACACGCTCTAAAAATGAAGAAGCGAAAAGAAGCTCTGATTAAGAGGCAAAAGAAAGAAGCTGCATCGAGGAACAAGTGTGAAAAGACAGATAAGGAAACCAAAAAATGAAACAATGATAAAAGTAATGAAATTCAAGAATGTAAAGAAGGTAATCTTCATGTATGATGCGTTTCCTAACCAAATGTTGAATAGTTTGGCTTCAAAAATGCTGACCGTTAATCCAGATCAGATTGAGATAGCGCTCTCAAAGGATTTAAGATATAAGTTAATAAGTGTAATGAAGTGCAAAAATAAATCTAAATTATTTAAATACTTAAACTATTTAATTTAAGCCTGAATATATAAAGTGAATATACGATGTCGCCAGCTGCATTCTTAAAGCAGTCGTAAAATTTTTATTTAGAGACATCATGATTTGAGTATTATTGAAATTCGACCAGTGTCCCAAAGAAATTTCATATACTATATATGAATAATTAAAATTATATCTTAATTTATCTATCCCATGTACTTTTGTCAGAAGTACTAAATTACGAAAGCTGAAAGCCTAGGATGAAAATATATATTCTTAATTATCGTTCGCAGAACAATTATATCTATATAGCTTTTTTGCTTTTCTAGAGAAAGCACAATTCAATAAGGTTCGAGATAGTCCTCCTATTTTTAAAACTCGTCATAAATATGGATAGATTTTGATTTTAGACTACATCAATCAATTCCGAACTGTGGTATTTATTTCTATATTATGAGCGAATAAAATAAAGTATGCAATATTAGGAATTCAAGAAATTTCTGCATAATTTATATTTGGAAGAATGTCTAAATTATATATTTTGCTCAGAATTCAGTATATTTAGTAACCCATTATCAAACAAACAAGCATAACAAAGAAGGCGAACTGGTAGAAATAAATATGTCGTTGAAACAGTCGTTCTAGAGTCGTTCATCTAAACACATTCGAGCTCTTATAATGTCTAAGATTAAATAAAAAAAAACCTATATTTTTCATTCAAAATTTCCGGTATTACATTTGGCACTAAATTCTGAGAAAATTTTCAAATGTCTTTGTATAGATGCTCATCCATCTGTCTGAGGAAGCCCATCCTTAGAGGTTTTAATATTCTGAAAAGGTATATAGAGCAGCCATGTCTTCCAAGTTGTCTTAGCAGCATCCAGCGACTGCCATTTACAACGACTGGAAGATGTTATTCACCTGATGATTCCAACACGAATGGTTGCGATGGAGAAAAGGACAAAGAAAAAGCAGCGGCAGCAAAACAAAAAAAGAAAGATGATGAAAAAATAAAGGAATATAAGATGCAATGTTTTGAACTTCAGAAGAAGGCACTGGATGACGAAATCCAATCTTCAAGTGATAAAGAAAAGCAATTAATTCAGGGTATGATGAAGTGTCTGACCGAGGGTATGAAGAAGGCGTGTTCGAAAATAGCTCTAGCAAAACTGTGTGCTGATAAAGAACTTGAAGATCAGTGTGCTGCACTAGCTAAAAAGGACAAAGTTAAAGCTATGCTCAAGAAGTGTGAGAAGAAAATGGCTAAAGAAAAAGCTAAAAAGCAAAAATGCCCACCTGAGGAAAAGGAGGATGAGAAGAAGAAAGGCAAGGGCAAGGGAAAAGCGAAAAAGCCAAAACAGCCAAAAAACAGATTTACACTAAAATTAGAGAAGTGCATCAAAAGCGAATGGGCCGATGTTTGTGAATGTCGTCAATGTTTTAACGAAGAAGAAAAGAAAAGACTGTCGAAAACCTACAAATGTCTAGGAGCTGAAATTAAAAGCGTTTGTAGAAAGAAGGTAATAAGCGAAATGTGCAAGGAAGCTGGACAAAAAAGCAAGCCTAAGAAATCAGACAAAAAGCAGAAAAAAGAAGATGAAAAGAAAGAGCAAGAGTTAGAGAAAGCAGTACTTAAAGAACAAGAAAAAGAAGAGAAAAACATAAAACGTCTAGTAAAAGCATTAAAGAAAAAATGCAAAAAGAAGCAAGAGAAAGCTCTTAAGAAAAAGTGTAAAGAGGATGCCAAAAAGAAAAAGAAAGCAGCACTAAAAAAGAAATGCCAAAAATTAGCTGAGCAAGAGAAGTGTAAAGAATTAGCTGAAAAAGAGAAGTGTAAAAAATTAGCTAAGAAGGAAGAGGAGGGGGACGAAGAGGAAAAGTGCGAAAAAGGGGATGACAAGGAAAAGGAAGCAAAACAAAAGAAAAAGTGTAGAGAATTAGCAAAAAAAGCAAAGAAAGCTGCGGAAAAGAAAAAATGCGAAGAAGCAGCTAAAAAAGAGAAGGAAGCGGCTGAGAAGAAAAAGTGCAAAAAATTAGCTGAAAAGGAAAAGTGCAAGAAAGCAGCTGAAAAGGAAAAGGGGAAGAAAGCAGCTGAAAAGGAAAAATGCAAAAAATTGGCTGAAAAGGAAAAGTGCAAGAAAGCAGCTGAAAAGAAAAAGTGCAAGGAATTAGCTGAAAAGGAAAAATGCAAAAAATTGGCTGAAAAGGAAAAGTGCAAAAAAGATGGGCAAAAAGAGAAGAAAGGAGGAAAAGATAGGAAAAAGTGTAGAGAATTAGCTAAAAAGGCAAAGAAAGCTGCTGAAAAGAAAAAGTGCAAGGAATTAGCTAAAAAAGAAAAAGAAGCTGCTGAAAAGAAAAAGTGCGAAGAAGCTGCTAAAAAAGAAAAGGAAGCTGCTGAAAAGAAAGCGTGCGAAGAAGCAGCTGAAAAGGAAAAGTGCGCAGAAGCTGCTAAAAAAGAGGAGGAAGCAGCTGAAAAGAAAAAATGCAAGGAAGCGGCTGAAAAGAAAAAGTGCAAAGAATTGGCTAAAAAGGCAAAGAAAGCGGCTGAAAAGAAAAAATGCAAAAAAGGTGGAAAAAATGGAAAGAAAGGAGGAAAAGATAAGAAAAACTGTAGAGAATTAGCTAAAAAGGCAAAGAAAGCTGCTGAAAAGAAAAAGTGCAAAGAATTAGCAAAAAAAGCTAAAGAAGCTGCTGAAATGAAAAAGTGCGCAGAAGCTGCTGAAAAGGAAAAATGCGCAGAAGCTGCTGAAAAGGAAAAGTGCGAAGAAGCTGCTAAAAAGGAGAAGGAAGCGGCTGAGAAGAAAAAGTGTAAAGAATTAGCTAAAAAGTTGAAGAAGGCAGCTGAAAAGAAAAAGTGCAAGGAATTAGCAAAAAAAGCTAAAGAAGCTGCTGAAAAGAAAAAGTGCGCAGAAGCTGCCAAAAAGGAGAAGGAAGCGGCTGAAAAGAAAGCATGCGAAGAAGCAGCCGAAAAGAAAAAGTGCGCAGAAGCCGCTGAAAAAAATAAGGAAGCGAATGAAGAAAATGATTGTGAAGAAGCTGCTAAGAAGGCAAAAAAAGCTGCCAAAAAGAAAAAATCCGAAGAATTTGAAAAACAGTTGGAGGAAGCAGCTGAACAGAAGAAGTGCAAAGAAGCGGCTGAAAAGAAAAAGTGCAAAGAATTAGCTGAAAAGGAAAAGTGCGCCGAAGCTGCCAAAAAGGAGAAGGAAGCGGCAGAAATGAAAAAGTGCAAGGAAGCGGCTGAAAAGAAAAAGTGCAAGGAATTAGCCAAAAAAGCAAAGAAAGCAGCTGAAAAGGAAAAGTGTAAAAAGGGTGGTAAAAAAGGAAAGAAAGAAGGAAAAGATAAGAAAAAGTGTAGAGAGCTAGCTAAAAAGGCAAAGAAAGCTGCTGAAAAGAAAAAGTGCAAGGAATTAGCTAAAAAAGAAAAAGAAGCTGCTGAAAAGAAAAAGTGCAAGGAATTAGCTAAAAAAGCTAAAGAAGCTGCTGAAAAGAAAAAGTGCAAGGAATTAGCTAAAAAAGCTAAAGAAGCTGCTGAAAAGAAAAAGTGCGAAGAAGCTGCCAAAAAGGAGAAGGAAGCGGCTGAAAAGAAAGCGTGCGAAGAAGCAGCTGAAAAGGAAAAGTGCGCAGAAGCCGCTAAAAATGAGAAGGAAGCGAATGAAGAAAATGATTGTGAAGAAGCTGCTAAGAAGGCCAAAAAAGCTGCCAAAAAGAAAAAATCCGAAGAATTTGAAAAACAGTTGGAGGAAGCAGCTGAACAGAAGAAGTGCAAAGAAGCGGCTGAAAAGAAAAAGTGCAAAGAATTAGCTGAAAAGGAAAAGTGCGCAGAAGCTGCCAAAAAGGAGAAGGAAGCGGCAGAAATGAAAAAGTGCAAGGAAGCGGCTGAAAAGAAAAAGTGCAAGGAATTAGCCAAAAAAGCAAAGAAAGCAGCTGAAAAGGAAAAGTGTAAAAAGGGTGGTAAAAAAGGAAAGAAAGAAGGAAAAGATAAGAAAAAGTGTAGAGAGCTAGCTAAAAAGGCAAAGAAAGCTGCTGAAAAGAAAAAGTGCAAGGAATTAGCTAAAAAAGAAAAAGAAGCTGCTGAAAAGAAAAAGTGCGAAGAAGCTGCTAAAAAAGAAAAGGCTGCTGCTCAAAAGAAACAGTGCGCGAAATTGGCTAAAGCGGCTGAGAAAAAGAAGTGCGAGGAACTGGCCTTAAAAAAACAGTGTGCAATCCTTGCCACAAAAGAACGGGAGGCGGCTTTAAGGTGGAAATGTGCGATAGCTGCTAAAAAAGCAAAAATGGCAGCTGAAAAGAAACAGTGTGAAGAACTAGCGAAGAAAGAGAAAGAGGACGCTGAGAGAGAAAAGTGTGCAGAGCTTGCTCAGAAGGAATTGGAGGAGGCTGAGAAGAAAAAGTGCGAAGAAGAGGCAGAGAAGAGAAAGTGTGCAGAATTGGCAAAAAAGGAAAACGAAGAGGCCGAAAAGTGTGAGCAGTCTGAGAAGTAACAATGTGCAGATTTTGACATAGAGGAAACCGAATTTGATGTAAGGAATAAAGCAAAGAAGGCGCAAAAAAAAAAAAAAATAAATAGAAATAAATGTTAAAAAAATAAGTGCTGAGCATCTGCTTATGATAGCAACGAAGTTCATAGGATTAAGCGCAATTAAGACGTCCGATAAAAGTCGGCTGAAAGGAAAAAGCATCTATAAATAACAAAGTCAAAACTGATAAGAAACAAGCGAATGACACCACGGGCTTTTAAAATTAATTAAGAAACAGCTAAAATTTTTAAATCGGATTAATTTTAAGTCTCGAACGTAAAACCAGATATGAAGAATTGTGCTCAAAATGGAAACAACCGAATAATCAGATTCAGGAAGAAGGGCTCTCAGAGTGGCTTGAGATATAAATTTATTTGTAATACAGTAAAAATTTAATAAATTATTTTTAAAGTTTATACATTTATTTATGTTTAATTTCAATGAATAATTATATGATTATAAGATAAGGGTAATAAAAAACAGAAAGCGATTTAAGAATCAAGATCAAGAATCTTATATTATTTTAGTGATAATGTTACGTTGAAATAGGTTTAAGCATAGCTCTTACCTTCATTTGACCTATTCGTCAGTTGTAGTGCAATTTTTCACAATTTATTTATCTAGTATATGATATTAAAGCAATATTAGAAGTATATATATAGTAGTATATATATAGTATATATATAGTATTAGTAGATATATAGTATTAGTAGATATCTGCTTCTTTTTCTCAGAGGCTTCAAGAAGGCAAACAAATTCATTTCTTCTATTGGCAAATACAAAAAAAGTAAAGTTTACTTAAAATTTTTCCGCAGCTTATACTTCTTAACTTCGTCATTTTGTACTTCAAAATTACGGTACTGTTCTTCTACTTCCTCGTCAGCCATTCACCATCGTCGCATTCAAGCAAACTATCGACCGCCTCATAGCCATCGATATTGTTTAGTATCGATAAATTTATATCTTTTGATTATTAACCATAGAGCAATGCGCCTTGTGCATGTGCTTATTGGCATACTACACTAATTATTAATTATGTCAATTGCAGTTGTTTTTTTACTTTTCAAGTACGGAATCAACAAAATTTCTTGTGTTTACTTTTAAGAGTCCTTAAATCAACATGTGAAATAAATTTGGAGCACTGATTTAATCAATTTTTTGACATGGGCTTATATTAAGTAGGATAAACGGGTTGCAGTTGTTGAGTTGGATGTGTTTACCATGACAAAAGCATGGTTATATCTTGATTAGGGTTGGTGTCCGTAAAAAATCATTTTGCTGTTGATTGAAAAACACTCAGTTTATAAATAAAATCGAGTATTGCAAAGCATGCTGTACATTTTTCCATTTCCAATGAACTTTTTGAATGTGTAAAATTTCCTCAGTATCAAGCAGACAAGCTTCGGGTTGAAGTTATTTTCGGTCCAAAATTTTCAAAATTTTTCTTTAAAAATTTAACAAATAAATTTTAGTATTTTGAACTGTAGTTTGGCACAAAAACAAATTTTATTTTATTCATCATGTTTCTAAGTCGTTTGGCGTGCGCTCTTCCACGTAAAGTTATAGTCCGAAGTGTTTCCACCCTAACTGGCCCTGTCGAGCCGAATGGTCTGCCACGGACATCGTTAGAAAGCTATCAACAGCGATTCCAATTTAGCAAAAAATGTGATCAAGAAGAAGCAAAGAAGAAATGTGCAGAGGCTGCTGCCAAGAAGTGCGCAGAGGCTGCTAAGAAGGAGAAGGAAGCGGCCGAACGGAAGAAATGTGCAGAGGCTGCTAAAAAAGAAGCCGAAAAGAAAAAGTGTGCAGAGGCTGCCAAAAAAGAGGCTGAAAAGAAAAAGTGCGCAGAGGCTGCTAAGAAAGCAAAGGAAGCGGCTGCAAAGAAAAAGTGTGAGGAGGCTGCTCTAAAGAAAAAGTGCGAGGAGGCTGCTAAAAAGAAGAAAGCAGCGGCTGCAAAAAAGGAGGCTGAACTCAAGAAGAAGTGTGCAGCTCTTGCCAAAAAAGAAAAGGATGCAGCACTGAAGAAAAAGTGCGCAGAGGCTGCCAAAAAGAAGAAGGAAGCAGCAGCCAAAAAGAAGAAGGCAGCGGCTGAAAAGAAAAAGTGTGAAGAGTTAGCTCAGCAGAAAAAGTGCGCAGAGTTAGCTAAAAAGCAAAAGTCTGACTCTGACAAGAAGTGAGCCGGCGGCCTAAAATGTGAAATTCTTTAAAGTACAGATTATGCAAGTAAAGCACCCAAGCAATCCAGACAGGCGTCCCCACAGAATCAGTAGAAATGTGTAAATACGCGACAGAAGGGGTCCAAGAAATATGAAGTGTGAAACAACTACTTGAGAGAATAAAGAAGAGGCTCCTACCAAACAACGAAGAGAAGACTGAACTTTCTGCTTAAAAGTGGTCTTAGAAATAAAGAATTCCCCCTGTAAATGCGTAAACCAGATATATAACAGATCAGAATGAAGAAAAGAATTAATTTAAGTGTAACAGAGTATACAAATATACTATAAATTATTTCGAAAATTGCCATGTGTTTATTAATTATGTAGTTGTCTTTGATTGGCGATTATGCTTACTTCAACAATGGATAAGATTCTGTGTATTTTCTTAATTTTCTCTAATTCACTGAAGCTTTAAATGATGGACTGCCATCTCCTAAGAAGAACCATTTTCGGTTTTGATTTTATTGGGTAAAATCAAAACCTTTTGACAGAAAACATAGAAATCTCATAGCTACTTTGATATTTTAAAATAGAATGTCTGGCAGTAAAAAGAAAAGGTTCTACGACAATAGACAGGATCAGTACGTGGCCCACGTATATGAACTTTACAGTATACATACAATTTTGGGGAATTTTATTGAAAGAGTCTGCTCTCACACAGCGAGAAATACCATACGGTTATTCACTACAATTGAATATACGAGGTGGAAACATACTGGCATGATATATAACGAGTCTACATCTAAAATCTCAAATCTCTGTCTTCACTAGCGTCGAAATGGTTCGGGATCATACGGACAGACTAACAGATGATCCGATAGCAAGCATTTTATAATTTCCCAATTTGGCACTTGTCAGCGTTTGGGCCGGGAATCCGTAGCAATAAAGTACGATTAAAAGTAACAAATATATAAATGTTGAATCCACTGAAAATGAAATGGTTTTATGCTAATCCATGTGAAAGAACGAAAACTTTACTCTGAACAAATATTATTTTAATTAATTAAACTGTAACTAGCACAAGAGTTATTAAAACGCATGTTGCGTGATTATTTTTACGAAAATATATATTTGCGTATAGTAATGTCGAGTCCTCTCGATTTAGTACCCTTAGTAACCCTATTTTGAAATTGCCAAGGTATAAGGCAAGCCGCATGATTTTAAGAAATCAAAGTATACAGAGTTTGGTCGAAATTTGTAGGTACTGATGGAGATGTTTCTATTTCTTCAGTATAACTCACTCACTCGTTCGGCTCAGTTCAATTTTGGCTTTTAAAAATTCAAAATTTTAGTCAAAATTAAATACGTTTTTAAATAATTTTTTTTTTTTTTTTTTTGAGTTGAATTCAATATGAACTTTTTCGGCCGTCTTGTTTGCGCTTTGCCGCGGCCGGCGATGCTCAGAACTGTTTCTACCCTAACTGGCTCTTTGGGATATAAATTTCTACCCCGGGTCACATTTAATACAATCCAACGGGTTTCATATGCTAAGAAAAGTGGTAAGGGCAAAGATGCGGACTTGAAGAAAAAGTGTGCAGAGGCAGCCCTGAAGAAAAAGTGTGCAGAAGCTGCCAAAAAAGAAAAAGAGGCTGCAGAAAAGAAAAAGTGTGCGGCGTTAGCTAAAAAGGAGAAAGAAGCCGCTGAAAAGAAGAAATGTGCAGCCTTGGCCAAGAAGGAGAAGGAAGCTGCTGAAAAGAAGAAATGTGCCAAGTTAGCTAAGAAAGGAAAGAAGGGAAAGAAAGGAAAGGGTAAGAATGGAAAGAAAGGAAAGAAAGGAAAGAAGGGAAAGAAAGATGAGCTGAAAAAGAAGTGTGCAAAGCTAGCCAAAAAGAAGAAGGAAGAAGCTCTTAAGAAAAAGTGTGCAAAGGCAGCTAAAGCTAAAAAGTGTGCTAAAAAAGAAGACGAGTAGTAGAGCAACAGCAACGCAACAGAGGCTGAGTACAGATTCAAGTAGGGGCTACAGGCAGAAAGAAGACTTCATTTCAATCGCTAACGAGTGAGGGCCAAAAATCAAATGCTGAGGCTGCAATTCAACGAGCGGCTTGAAAAAAACAAAGATGAGGCTACTTCGGAGTGACGGGGTTGATCTGAAGGCTTGCATCTGTGAATTATGTAGAATGTGTAGGCTTTGGATATTTTCAAGTGCACGTTTTGGAAATGTACACAGATAGCACAGATGCAGTTAAAAAAAATCGGCTTGAAGTTAAAAATTCAAAAATAAATCTCAGCGTATTATGCTTAATAAAATATAAATTATTTATTTATAATTTTTGTGTGTTTTTGTCTATGTATAGGATATGGGAAATGTATAGGATAGTGAAACCAAGTATAAATCGCCAACTTAATACTTAGTTATGTTGTTTGTTTTAAATATTCGTTTATTTCATATGTCTCGATTTCAAATAAATTTGCATGATAGTACTATCGTCGACTGACGATTTTTTATTTATTTGATAGCTTAGTGCATGCAGACGGCAGTGCTTGGCATACTTTTTATTTTATTTTATTTTGTTTAATATAGTTTCATTTTCAAGGCGTTTTCTAGTGTTAAAATATTTAATGGATTTTAACTTAAATTCGTTATGACATTAAGCCATAATTCGTAGGCTAACACAAAGCTGTGCAGAGACACTCTGAGGGCTTTATATCTTCTCTCCTCCTAATAAAGAAGATTGTATAAAATCCGTTTATTCTTGTATTATGCCATTTTTGAAAAGGCCAAGAAAAGAGCCTACTTACTCATGATTCCACTTCAAATGACACTGTTTTTAAATTTAACAGCACACAGTCAAAAATAGAGATTCATCACATATAGGTTAGTTTCGATTTAAAATAATGTCAAAATTTCGCTAAAACCACAATTGAAGCAGATAAAATTCACAATAAATAATTTTAATGTTGTATTTTGAACCACAAAATCTTATATCATAAATTCAAGATGTTGTTTTGTCGTGTTTATGGCGGGTTTTTGCGTAAGGCCGTATACAGAGGTATTTCGCTAGTCACTGGATCTTTGGATCAAAAGTATTTGCAGCGAGATAAAGTGAACAACTTTCAAAGGATGCCTTATAGCAAGAAAAGTGATTCATTCTCTGAGCCTTCTAGTAAGGAAGCGAAGAATAATCAGATAGAGTCCACAGGAGCTGATAAGGGTGGTAAGAGTAGAGTAGACTCTGGAGCTGAAGCCTTGGAAAAGCAGAAAGATAAAGAAAAGCTTAAACTACTCGAAGAAATGTGTATGACGGAGCGAAGAAAATCTTTTGCCAAGGATATACAGTCATTGGATAAGAGCGAACAAGCAGTATTGAAGAGTATGTTACCGTGCCTTGAGAAGGGCATGAAACGAGAGTGTAAGAAGGAATCCAAAAGGAAACTTAGGCATGAGAAACGCCTTGAGGAAAAGTGTTCCTTGATTGCTAAAAAAGATAAGATTAGAAAGTTATTGAAGTACTGCGAAAAGGAAAAAATCCAGAAACAAAAAAATAATAAAACAGGCAACGGCGATCAAACTGCTAAGAAGAAGTCAGAGACATCGGCAAGTAAAGCGAATTCTGAAAACAAATTTGAAAAGATCGATCCAATAGCAAATATATGTCTGTATTTGAAATTATGTAAAAATACACCGGAGTGTTCAGGAAAGGCAGACAGCCCAAAAGATCAATATCTATTAAAACTAAAGAAGGCCATTAGGCAAGAGTGGACCGATATATGCCAGATTCGACAGAAATTAACAAAAGTAGAACAGCAGAATCTTTCGATTTCTCACAAATGCGTGGCATCTCAAATAAAGCAAATTTGCAAACTGAAAGTGTTGAAAGAGATGTGCAAGGAAAGTAAGAAATCTGAGAACTCTGCTGAAAGCAAATCATTGAAGTGTCCACACAAAGAAGCAGCAAAAGAGACTAAAATGCAACAGAATGGCAAAAAAGCTTCCGAAAAACAGAATAAAGGTGGTAGTCAATCACAAAATAAACAGCAGACTAGTATGAATAACGGAATATTCAAAGATCAAAAGCAGAATATTGAGGGGATTAAAAAGTTAAGTATAGGACAAAACGAGAAACCACAAAAATTGGAGAGTGGGGCTTCTAAGAAAGAGTCTGATAGGATTCCTCAGAAGAATAAAAAAGAAGAGAAACTCACGAACAAGAAAGATATGATCTCTTCTAAAACAGATGATAAGAGCAGAGAGAGCGAGAACAAAGGAAATGAGAATGAAGAGGAGGCACTGAGGAAACAATGCAAAGAGGCGGCTAAGAGAAAATGTGAATATAATAAGGCCTTAGTTCAAATGAAGAAAGACGCCGAATGTAAAAAAAGGCAAGAGCAAGAGATTCTTAAACAACAGGAAAAAAATCAGTCTCTTCAACAAAAAATAGAACTAGAAGCTGAATTGGAGAAGAAAGAACTCGAATATCAAAAGAGAAAGAAAGATGAGGAGATTTTACAAAAAAATTGTGATGAAGCAGCTCTACGGATAAGGCTAAGGGCCCTTAAGAAAATATGTGAAGAAAAGATTCTTAAGAAAAAGAGAGAGGCGGAGGTACTAAGAGCAATGTGCCGGGAAGATGCTCGCAAGAAAGAAAATGAAAATGCCCAAAATAAGGACAATGAATATAAGAAATGTGCTGAAAAATATTCCGAAAACGGGGCTGACAAAAATAAAACGGAGGTGGAGAAAAACAAGGCAGCCTCTAATGAAAATATCGAAGCTGATACCCTGGATATGAAATTTAAGGAACTAGCATTAAAATGCGCGGAGGAGATGCGCAAAAAGAAAGAAGAAGAACAAGCTCTGAAGAAAAAACAAACAGATTGTATCGATGATTAGTAGTACAGTTAGATAAATTACAGATTTACATTCTTTTGCCAAATTGAGTATATTTATATTTATCAATAAAAGAATATTATGTATTGTATATACTTTTTGAGCAGAAACTTTAAGATCAATGGGTTTTCAGATATGCTACGTTGAAAAAATGAATTGTAAATGCAGAAGTAATATAAATAAATTTAAAAAAAAATTATATCTTTTTTTTTTATTGTATTTCTAGCGATTATAAAAACATGGATATATAAAAATGTATATCTAGTACTCCTTTTTAAATGTGTATACTCAAATAGTTGAAAAACACAACTCAGATCAAAAAGATCAAGTCTAGAAAACAGCAAATTTTTGGTTCACAATATGTCAAAATTTTAGCTATAACACTTTCATAGTAATTGCAAAATTGTATAGTTTTATTTAATTTGCGGTATTAGTATTTAAATTAAGCCAATCAGCATGTCTTTTAATAGATTTACTTCCGTTTGTATGCGTAAGTCAATTCTAAGAAGCATTTTTATTCTTACGGGTTGTTTAGATTGTATGCATTCCACGAAACTTCCGATAAAATACACACCATGTGTGTCCTATAGTAAAAAATCAGACTCTGCTTCGGGTTCTTCTGATGACTGTCAAAAAAATCCGTGTGACTTGTATTCAAAAATATTGGATAAAAAGGAAAAAGAAATAGAGAGAAATGAAGCGGCCTGCAGAAAGCTGAAAGAGGAACAACAGCTTAAGCAATATGAAGAAAATTGTCTGATAGCTCAACGAAGGCGGCTTGCCGAGGAAATGCAGTGCATGGATCAGAAGGACAAAATAGCTTTGGAAGGCATGATGAGCTGTTTAACGCGAGGCATGAGAAAGGCCTGCAAAAAACTGGCACATAGGAAGCTTCGCAATGATAAAGAGCTTGAACAAAAATGTGCTGTGCTGATTAAAGCTGCAAAGATCAAAAAGATATTAAAACAGTGCGATAAAAGGAGAATGAATACTAAAAGTGCTGGGGATAAAAACAAAGAGGACTCTGAAAAGAAATTGAAAAAGAAGTGTAAGAAAAAAAAAGGTAAGACAGGAGAGCCCAAAGCGGAGCAAAGGTGTAAGGATAGTAATGAGCAGAAAGATAAGAAGAAGAAATGCCCAACTGAAAAGAAGTCAAAAAGTAATAGTGTAAAGGAGGAGAAGAAGGAAAAAGCTGAATGTAATAAAGTTGATAAACAAAAGCCAAGAAATGAGGATAGCGATCCAATTGAAACTATATGTACTTCCTTGTGCAGAAATGGTAAAATTGCCGATGCCTCAACAAATCCCCAGAACAAGTATTTAATAAAATTAGAGAAATGTATTCGAAAAGAATGGTCAGATATTTGCAAGTGCCGCGAAACATTGAGCAAACGTGAGAAGATCCAACTGGCGCGTTCTCATAAATATTTGTCGGCTCATATTAAAGAGCAATGTAGAAAAAAAGTATTGGCGGAAATGTGCGCAGCAATTAAAACAACATGTTCCAAAGATAAAGCTGCTAAAAGTAAAACATGTAAAGAGAGTGCAACAGCAAAGAAAAAGGAGCCTAATACAGATATATGTGAGGAGATCTGCGAAAATAAAGAATTACAGAAGGAGATAATGGAGGCAAAGCGCGAAGAAGACGAATTTATTAAGAGCGAAATAGAGAAATTAAAGAAAAAGTGCTTAGAGAAAGCTTGTAAGAAGGTAGACGAGAAGGGAGAAGAAAAAAAAACCCCAAACAAAAAGACTAAAGAGTGTGCACCAAAGAAAAAATGCGAAAAAGAGAAACAGGAACAACAAAGAAAACAATGCGAGGAGCAAAAGAAGAGACAGGAAGAGGTGGCTGAAAAGAAAAAGTGCGAGGAGCTGGCTATTAAAGAAAAGTGCGAATCTCTCAAAAAAAAATTGCAAGAGGATGCCATAAGAAAAAAATGCGCAATGATGAGAATGCGAGCAGTTATAGAAAAGAAAAAGGAAAAAGAAGAAGCTCAGAAGAGAGAATGCGAGAAGTTGAAGAAGCAGAAAGAGTCCGAGGGAAAGAAGAAAGAGTCTCTAAAAAATAAATGCGAGCAAAACAAAAAGAACCAAGAAATCGCTGAAAAGAAAGAGCGCGAAGCAGAAATTCTGCATCAAAAGTGCGAAGCGCTTATTAAAAAAATAGAACAGCAAATTCAAAGCGTGACTGAGAAGAGCAAAGCGGGGAAGGCATCTACAAAAGTGTGTGAGGCGGAAGTGGATAAAAAGCAAGCAGATGATAAGAAGCTCAAGGAAAAATGTGAGGAAGAGGCTTTAAAGGAAAAGTGTAAAGCTCTAAAAAAAAAGTTACAAGATGGTATTAAGCGAAAGTGCCCGGGTGAAAAGCATAGTCACGAAGACAAGGCCCAAAGCAAAGAAGAGAAGAAATGTAAAGAAATCGACTTAGAAGGCAAGTGCAAAGCTCTGAAACAAAAATTAGAAGAAGACGCTCTAAGAATTAAGTGTGCGATGAAAAAAATGCGTGACCATGCAGAAAAGGAAAAGCAAAATAAAGAAGCTGAAAAAAAGAAATGCGAAAACGCTCAAAAAAAAGATCAAGAAGAAGCTCAAAGAAAAAAGTGTGAGGAGGCAAAGAAACAGAAAGAGGAACAGAAAAAAAAGGACGAAGCTGCTAGGTGCGAAGATCTGAAGAAAAAGCAAGAGGAAGACGCTCTTAGACTAAAGTGCGCCATGAAAAAAATGAGAGAGAAACTTGAAAAGAAAAAGAAAGAAGAAGCGCTAAGAAAAAAATGCGAAGAGGAAAAGAAACAGAAAGAAAAGTGCGAAGATCTGAAGAAAAAGGAAGAGGAAGACGCTATAAGGGCAAAGTGCGCAATGAAAAAAATGCAAGATGCTCTTGAAAAGAAACAGAAAGAAGAAGCGCAAAGAAAAAAGTGCGAGGAGGAGAGGAAACAGAAAGAAAAAAAGCGAAAAGAAGAAGAAGAGTGCGAAGCTCTTAAGAAAAAGCAAGAGGAAGACGCTATAAGGGCAAAGTGCGTAATGAAAAAAATTAAAGAAGAGCTTGAAAAGAAAGCAAAAGAGGAAGCGCTAAGAAAAAAGTGCGAGGAGGAGAAGAAAGAGAAAGAGAAAAAGCGAAAGGAAGAAGAAAAGTGCGAAGCTCTTAAGAAAAAGCAAGAAGAAGACGCCATTAGGGCAAAGTGCGCAATGAAAAAAATGCAAGAGGCAATTGAAAAAAAAGAGAAAGAAGAAGCGCAACGAAAAAAGTGCGAGGAGGAGAAAAAACGGAAAGAAGCAGAGGAAAGAAAAAAAAAGGAAGATGAAAGGTGCCAAGCTCTTAAGAAAAAGCAAGAAGAAGACGCCATTAAAGCAAAGTGCGCAATGAAAAAAATTCAAGAGGCAATTGCAAAAAAAGAGAAAGAAGAAGCAGCGCGAAAGTGTGAGGAGGAGAAGAAACGGAAAGAGGCAGAGGAAAAAAAACGAAAGGAAGAAGAAAGGTGCCAAGCTCTTAAGAAAAAGCAAGAAGAAGACGCCATTAAAGCAAAGTGCGCAATGCAAGAGGCACTTGCAAAGAAAAAGAAAGAAGAAGCTCAAAGTAAAAAGTGCGAGGAGGAGAAAAAACAGAGAGGGGCCCAGGAAAAAGAAAAGAAGGAAGAAACTTCTAAGGCAAAGTGCGACTTTCTTAAAAAATTAGAAGAACAAGATGTTATTAAGAAAAAATGCGCAATCAGGAAAATTCGCGATGCTATCGGAAAAAAGCAAGAAGACGTTATTCGGCAAAAATGCGCAATGAAAAAATTACGAGAGCAAGAAGAAAAGGAACGTAAGGAAAATGAGGCGCGCAGAGCAAAAGCTATTCTGTTTCGATCCACTCTTTACAGAACGAATTGCAAGCAAGACTTTCAGGCCGGCAACAAGGTATCCATTGTTGGCGCTGGACCCGTGGGCATGGGCTGTGCCTTTGCCCTGCTAACAAAACGCGTCACGAATAACATAGCCATCTATGATGTAAAGAACGACTTAAGTTCTGCACAGCGCAACGACCTTCGACACGCATCGCTTTTCCTTCAGAACTGCAACATTGACAACAGCAGCACCATTGAGTGTACCAAAAATTCTCGCGTGGTAGTAATTGCGGCTCGACCGAGCAGTAAACCAAACGAATCATGCCAGGATCAGCTCCTCAGATCGGCTGACATGATCAAGCAAATCGTTCCTGAATTACTCAAGCTGAGTCCAAAGGCTGTCTTTATCGTTGTGTCTAGTCCCGTAGATGTGATGGCTTGGGTTGCCCGCAAGATCACCAACCTTCCCTATGAGCGCTGCTTCAGCACTGGATGCCACTTGGATACAGCGCGATTCCGCATGTTTATAGCCCAGTTAGTCGGGGTCTCCACGAGCTCGGTGCAGGGAATGGTGTTGGGGGAGCACGGAGACACTTCGGTGCCAATCTGGTCCTCCGTCAGTGTGGGCGGAACTCTACTAAAGGACTTGCTGCCGCCCATAGGTACTGACAAAGATCCGATGGTATGGTCGAATGTTCACAAGAGCGTTGTTAATGCGGCCTATAAAGTCATCGCTGGTAAGAACTATACGAATTGGGCGATCGGTCTTACCGTTTCCGATGTTGTGTCTGCCATATTCGAAAACAGTAATCGCATCTTGTCATTGTCAACGAATGCGAAGGGCATGTGTGGAGTGAAAGATGAAATTTTTCTATCATTGCCTTGCATTGTTAACCAGTGGGGTATTTATGGAGTATTACATCCTCAACTTTCAGATTGGGAGAAAGACAAGTTCAAGATGTCAGCAGCAAAATTACTAAATACACAGAATAGTATTAAGCTCTAAGCACCAGATTTTAGTAAAGTTTTCAATATTCTTAATAAATTACTTTTAATTGGTGTTGGCAGAGCGATTTGCCGGATACAGAATTTCCATTGAAATTCGCGTTCTGTTTTAACTGTTTTAGTAGAGCGAAAACGAAGTAAAAGTGGAACTCTACGCCAAGATTTGTTCTTGGTGGTACAGCTCGTCTTTCAAAATCCTCCATGAAAACTGTTGTATGCAAAACAAAATTAAATTATTTTTTTTCGGTTGAATCAGTCAAGAAACCTGGTGAGGAGTTCGTGCGAAGCAAGTCGTTCTCTATTACTGTCTATCGTCTATAAAATTTCTGTAAAACACATGCTGATTGTATTTGAAATAAGACATTGATAAATGGACATTTTTTAGTCACTAAATTCTGGGTCATCTACTTTCAATGCTTTTGACTACATGTATTCAAAATTTATCAAATAAATATGTATCGAAATCAAAAGGAACATTTTGCAATAACTGTCAACTTTTTGAGAGAAAGTTTTATTTCATTCATTTCATATTCAAAATTAATCAATAATCTTGACTTAAACAATAGCAAAACGAGTATTTAAAAATGTTTAGATTTTAAACAAAATTAAGTCATTGTTTTCTTTCTTTTTTTTTTAAATCACCCTACTTTTTTGAGCTCGGTATGATGATCAAATCGTTATCTTATGGCGTCTATAAAAATTTTCCTAAATTCGAAATTTTGAGATATTCATCTTCATCTTTCGACTCATTCAGCTGCAAAGACGATAAGCTTTTCGATGATTTTCGCGATTGCTTGTACAGACGCTCAGAAGAACAAGACGTTCAATGTGGGAACAAAGTATCTATTGTCGGAGCCGGCTCCGTTGGCACTGCGTGTGCTATAGCCCTGCTTTCCAAAGGCATCACCAACAACATAGCTCTCTATGATTTGAGGAAAGAGTTCTGTTCTGCAGAGCGGCAAGACCTGCTACAAGGGTCGCTTTTCCTTCACAACTGCAAAATTGACAATCGGACTACCATTGAGTGCACAAAAAACTCACGCGTGATAGTGATCACGGCAGGGGTGCGTAGTAAACCGAACGAGTCACGCCAGAATTTGGTCCACAGGTCGGCAGAAATCATCAAAGAACTTGCCCCTGAATTGCTGAAACAGAGTCCAAAGGCTGTCTTTATCGTTGTATCAAATCCAGTTGATGTAATGACTTGGGTTACCCGCAAGATCACCAACCTACCCTATGAGCGCTGCTTCAGCACTGGATGTCATTTGGATACAGCGCGATTCCGCATGTTTATAGGAAAGCTATTGCGGGTGTCAACGAGCTCGGTGCAGGGAATGGTGTTGGGGGAGCATGGAGACACTTCGGTGCCAATCTGGTCCTCCGTCAGTGTGGGCGGAACTCTACTAAAGGACTTGCTGCCGCCCATAGGTACTGAGGATGATCCGTTGGCTTGGTCGAATGTACACAAGAACGTTGTTGACGCGGCCTATAAAGTAATCGGTGGTAAGGGCTACACAAATTGGGCGGTTGGCCTCACCGTTTCCGATGTTGTGTCTGCCATCTTCGAAGACAGTAATCGCATCTTGTCATTGTCAACGAATGCGAAGGGCATGTGTGGAGTGAAAGATGAAGTTTTTCTGTCGTTGCCTTGCATTGTTAACAAGTGGGGTATCTATGGAGTATTACATCCTCAACTTTCAGATTGGGAAAAATGCAAATTTGAGAACTCAGCCAAAGTAATGCTAAACCTACAGAATAGTATTAAATTCTAAAATGGCATGTTGTCTGAAGCTTCATAATAAAGACATTAATTATTAGTGGAACAGCAATCTACTACGGAAATAATTATCACGTAAATAAAATGCATATAAGTAATATATATTTTTTCCTTGTCATAATTTTGATTCCATAATTATAGGGTATCCCATATTTTAATCCACAATTTGAAATTTTTGTCAACTCTTTTAAAATAAACAGACATTACGAAAAAATTGTTTGTCGGAATGGTCATTAAAAATATTTAAAATTCTCCAATAAGTTTAATCGATAAGAATAATGACAATAGCAATATTTTAAATCATTTGGACAGCAGAATATAAAAAGAAAATGTTATAGCACCCTTTCTGGAATTTTTTTGTGTGTTGACCACAACATTTCAAACGCCACAAAATTATTTCTGTTATTTTTAACTCATTTCAAAATTTTTATCAATTTTTTTTTTTTGGTTTAGACAATCTGCATGAAGATGAAGCACGGTTTATCCAGAATTTGTACTAATGTATTGACTTCCAGTATTAAGAATAGTATGAGGCAACAGCCTCTATGTGCCACTCAAATATTATGTATTACACGCTCTGCTTCGTCGAGCTGTAATGATGACAAGCTTTTGAATGCTTTTCGCACCTGCTTGTTCAAACGCTTGAAACAGCAGGAGGTACAGCCTGGAAACAAGGTCTCTATTATCGGTTCTGGTGCCGTGGGCATGGCGTGTGCAGTAGCTCTGCTTTCGAAGGGGATTACCAACGACATAGCTCTGTACGATATCAATAAGGATTTGTGTACTGCCGAGAGTGCGGACTTGGTACACGGCTCATTATTTCTAAATAACTGTAATGTTGCGAAATGCTGCGATATTGGATCGACACGGGACTCGAGAGTAGTTGTAGTGACGAGTGGAGTACGCCCGAAAGCCAACGAGAAGCCTTCAGAGGTGGCCCAAAAAACGGCGGATATTATCAAGTGTGTAATGCCCAGCCTGGTTAAAGAAAGCCCCAAGGCTGTATTTATTATTGTTTCAAATCCATCCGATGTCATGGCCTGGGTGGCCCATAAAATATCCAAGTTACCCTACGAGCGATGCATTAGCACGGGCTGTCATTTAGACACTGCACGCTTTCGACTGTTTATTGCGCAGCTTTTGGGCGTGGCAACTAGTTCGGTGAATGCATTTGTCCTCGGGGAGAATGGTGAACGTTCGGTGCCAATGTGGTCCTCGGTTACGGTGGGGGGTGTGCGGCTAGAGCAACTGGTGCCAAAGATTGGCACAAGCGAAGATCCGATGCAGTGGTGCAAAGTACATAAGGACGTTGTCGAGGCGGCGGCCAAGGTGATTGCCCTAAAGGGCTACACGAACTGGGCCATTGGACATGCTGTTGCCGATGTTGTATCTGCCATATTCGAGAACAGCAACCGGATCTTGTCGTTGTCAACAAATGCCAAGGGAATGTGTGGAATCAAAGACGATATATTCTTATCGCTACCGTGCATTGTTAACAAATGGGGCCTCTTTGGGATTATTCGTCCACATCTATCGAAATGGGAGTCAAATGCGATGAAGGAATCGGCCGAGCAGGTATTGAAGGCTCAATGTGACATTAAACTTTAGGTACTTAAAAAAAAAAAAAAAAAATTAGGGGTTTTGAAATTGTATTCAGTAGTTTCCCCTGCTTTCAGTAAATAAATTTATCGTCAGGCTTAGTTATAAATGCTATTTTTTATTTGGCACAAAATTGATTTGCTTTCTGGGCGTTGTCAAAATGTGGCGAATTTGCAGCTATACACAGCTCGAACCAATTATAAACGGCTGCAAGCGGTGCCAGCTACCAGTAGAGGTTAACTCGAATATTAGAGGCAAGAGCTCCTCATGCACAGGGCCCTCACAGTCACTTATTCCAAAGAAGAGCCTTATTAAGAAGGAACCCAAACAGCGAGAACAAAAAGTGAAATTCAAAGGCATTCCACATTCGATCGATAATCAATCCGATTACTATTTACGCAATGGAAGCTCCAGTAGGAAGCCACCAGTAAAAGGAGAGTCCCATACATACGCGCAGTCAAGTGAGAAAAGTAGTGAATCCAACTTGAACAAAACTGTAAAAGGGAATGTCATTAAAAGGAATTCGACTGCAGAGAGAAAATCTAAAATTGAAATCAATAGATGTCTGCCGCATAAATGTAAATCAGCAAACGAGGCTCGCTCAAGGGATCCTTTTGAATCGACAGACGACAAAAATGATGAAAAGTTCTATGATTGCCAGGACATATCTTCACGAAAAATCGCCCCATTTTCAGGGCTGGTGTCTAACGAGCTAAAGAGCCAAACAAAAAACAAATGTCAGCCATTACATAGAGCGCTTTCAGATCAACCAGAGCAACGTAAAGGTTGTTTTTCATCAAAGCTAATACGAAATACTACAAAAAGCGGCAATGGGTTGGCACAGCACGGCTTCAGCTTGCATTCTGCTCATTTGATAGAGGAACAAGATCCGCACTGCATTCATTGTGAGGCAAAGTCTTGTCCCCAGCGTACGTATATGCTCTCGGGGACATTACGTTGCACAAAATGTCATGCCAGAGTGGCAAATGATCAGTGGAGTAAGAATGCTGTGCCGGCTCAATATCAATTGGACTTGAAGAATATTTCGGTACCTATTGTCAAGCGGTCTGCCCAACCAAATTATGAGCTTCAGAATCGAACCCCCTCCGATTTCTGTCCCGATAAACGAAGAAAGCACTTAAATGGTCCCATCCCCAAATCATCTGTCATGTACCAACCATTACCCTTACTAGAAGATGCTCTAAGGAAATTACGAAACGATCCTAGTTTTACATTAAGCGCAAAACCCACAGCACTGCTAAGAGATCGACTACAAGAATATAATAAAGAATTATTTAATGCTGTACGTGAATATGACGGTATAGCCCAGCCCAATAGGAGTTCAACATCAGCTTGTTGGCCTACCCATCCCAAAAGTTGGAACAAAGATCATATAATGCAATGTTTTCGTGAAGATCAATCCTCTTTTAATTTAGCGAAACAGGAGTTGAGAAATGAGCGGATTGAATCAAACGCTGATTCCTTATATTTCAGAGTGAAACAGAAGTCAAGCGAGCTGTGGCCTATGCAACCACTTAGAAAGAAGTTGAATATAGCCGATCAATATTGGAAATCGGTAAACGAAGTAGAAGACAACAAGTCACCGAAGATGCCTGACCGAAGGCCAATGAAATCGAAACTGATAAATAAATGCGCAAATGATAATAATGATAATAATTACAACTCCATTTCCGGCTCTGCAAATGCGAATTCTTCTATGCATCTGATGAAGAATAGCAATGCTGCATTCACAAAACCTCAATTGACTGATCTCCGCTGCCACAAATCTAACAGTATTAAGCGAATACAAGATAATGCGAAGATGGAATTGGATGCATTAAGTGATAATAATTCTCAGACTCAACAACAGAAGCTGAGTAAAGAATTTGACGATTTCAGATTTGATGATCACCATAGTATTAGGCTCTATGTCGACTACATCAAATCTGAGATGAGTCAAATTGATAATATAATCAATAAATGTAGAATACTAAAAAGAAAATATGGCATACAGCTGGAAGATAATTGTGCGGAATACCTGCAGCAGATGTTCAAAAGGAATAACAATGTATTGCAGGAGGTGGGATCGATGCTACATAAAAGGTGCTTGGATGCTATCGGAAATCGAAAAAATCAGTTCGTAGTCGCCAAACAAATTAACATTGAAAATGTGCTGCCAAGCAAATTCACGAAGTCCGTAACGAAAAACAAGTGTGAGGACGACTTAGAAAGAGTAGACGAGACAGCAAAAGCAAATCATGAAAAGCTGAAAAAACAGACTCAGGCAACCGAAGAAAGTCAAAGGAATGCTAAGAAATCGCTAGATGATAAGAAAGAGAGTTTACCGAATCAGTGCAGGAAAACTGAGAAAGAGAAGAAATTGAACAAAACAGAGAAGGAATGTGATGTGGCCGACTTACAGAATGCACCAGACGGAAATATTAAAATGAAAGCAGAAGTGACTGAAAGAAACCAGGCAGAAACACAAAACGAAGTAGTTGAACTTAATAAGCAGCTGGAGGAGGATACAAGGAAAAAGGAGAAGCTCGAGGCCATGAACACAGATAAAACGGTTGGTGATCGGCTAAAAAAAGATATATTAGCTCCCTTTTATATGCTCAACGATGCTCTAATATCAACTATTTTCCAAGGGAATAAGCTGGACCAGCCTTACGCCATGAGACGTCTGGAGAGCGAACGCCCATGGTTAGGTTCACAAAATCAAAGAGGGTTTACTAAATCAGTTGGAATTCTTGATGCTCTTGGTATACCGCATGCCACACGTCTGGATAGCATAAACTACATGTTCGAATTTCGAAATCGGTTCAATCACAGCTGCCAACAACTACAGTTTTCGACAAGCCCCGAAGAAGATAACCCAGAGCCCGATGAGGTTAGACAACAATCAGAGAAAGCATTGATAAATGAATGGGTAAATGAATTTGGAGAGTTACCGTTACAGATAAGACCAGGGTCGAAAATATTATTTCCCTTGCCCCATTCTGAGGGGAGCTACTTTATTAGCGACAGCGATACATGTCTGCAATTAAAGTGGCTCGATCTTAGAATGGGTGAAGAGCTCGAATATGACGATTCTGATACTGATTCTGAAACTTAAACTGGCGTGAAGTAAATGAGTAAAGTAGACAATTGAAATGTGTGTGTATATATATCAAAAGATAATCATATGTGCAAGATATTAAAATTGATTAGTCTTGAATGTGTCAAGATTTATGAATTTACTTTTATATTTTTACTTAGGTATAGCATTTGGTTATTGAAAAAAGATGAAAATTGCTTTAATGCATTCCCATTTAAGCAGAATATAACTATTCATTAAATTATATCAATGAATCCCTTTTCCATTAACAAGTATTATCCTAAATAATTAAGGACCTTTTCAAACCACTTGTTAGTTCTATGAAAGTCGCTCAGCAAATAACTGCTCAATGCTATAGAAATGCGTATATGCATATAGAAAATAATGACTCCAGCCTTGATTCATTGATGAATTAATGAAATTTGTAACGTATAATATATATAGTCGAAGCAAATACAAAGGCAAACAGGCATCAACATTGCATTGCGCAAATACGCATACATAGCTCTATTGCTATCTTTGCTTTGGGTTATGAATTCCGGGGCAGGATAATGAAAGTTATCGGGCATAAAGTAAACAAGCTTGAGGTGCTGCCTTCATGTTTAGACAGGCCATCAGACAGGCAGACAGTGAGACAGAGCGAGAGACATAGAGACTGGCAATGCGTATTTGGTTTTCATTTCGTATTGATTTCACAGTTGATGGGCGGCTGGGTGTGGGGTGTGGGCGGGGTGTGTGTGGCATATTGGCAAAGCAAATTTGCAGACGCCTTGACTGGCCATCATCAACAGCCATCCGTTTAAATTATTAACGTATGAGTAATTTGTATGACATATAAACAAAAGTCTGTGTTAGTTGCATGCTTCAGTGATTGTGACTGCCACCAGGTTCTCTGGTCTGTGTCGACCTCAGGCTATGACTGACTCTGACTCATGTGTTGTCCTCGCTGTCTGTGTCCTTTTTTGGGTTTTCTATTTCGAATTGCGACGACAACAGCGACTATTCTCTGTCAGGCTGTCAGTTCCCACGTGGGAGCCTTGGGTTGTGCGTCTAGAGGATTCGTTTTGTATGCGGCAAATGAGTTGTGTGTAATTAAGTCCTGGCGCAGTATAACTCGAGTGTGAGCGCGACATCTCCTCTGATAGTTAGCAAAGGAATTCGAGCTCTTTCGAGCTGGCAAAACATTGACAAATATTGATTAGCTGTATTGATTAGGAATAAGCTAAGTTTTGGGTTGACTTTGAAATTTAGGGAGGTCTGTGGTATTTTTTTATTTTATTTTTTATTTAATCTAAATAAATTGCAAGTTAAAAATGTTCAAACATATCCATACTATACAATATTCAACTGATCCAATTAAAATAATTTAAAATTATATACAATGCATTTAGTATTTGGTGACTAACTTTTTCTTAATTTCTGTTCTCATTTTAGGTAAGTCTCAATGCTTTAAAATACTCGTAAGTTCAGTCTCAAGCAGCAGGCTGAATAAATTTCTATCTTGGAACTCTAGAAGCCAACAGAGGTAAACTTTTGCCCAAAACTAGTGGCTTTAATTTGAAAACTTTTTCAGCAGGAAAAAAGAGCAAATAGCTGAAAATAAAAATCAAAGTCTATAAAATAGCAAAACATATCCGGCAATAGTTGGGCCAAAAGAGCGACGCACCAACACAATTCGAACACTGAATTCCACGCAATGAGCAAAGCGTCAAACGTCGGACGCAAAATCAAAGCATACTTTTGAGAATGCTTCAACGCAACCGCTAAACAACTGGCCACGGCCGAAGGACAGACAACCGGACAGCTGGACGGATTGACGGACAAATTGTGAGCCGTTCAAACCGGGCCCGGCCGCATAGTTTAAACAAACTTTTTGCTTAAAAGCTAAAAACACACACACACACATACTCGCAAAAAGAAAGAAATAAAATAGAGCCCGAAAAAAGGGGGAAAAACTGGAAACGCCACTATTACATTAAAACAGAAAAATAATTGCAAAAATTTCTACCAACTTTTTCAACTTTCGCTGGATTTTTTTTTTTTTTTCTCTTTGTTTTTTGGTTTTTTCATCTCTTCTGTTTTGTAGAGTTTTGCGTTTGTTGTACGCATCCATTCTTTGAATAGCTGGCAAATTTCACTTGGCAAACTTTAAAACGGGCTGACGACGCTCATTACAACTAATAATGTTAATAATCATTAAAGTGCCGCATTAAACGTGATTACGGCTTGTTTCTACGCTCTAAGGGGGGGTCGGTTGGGGCGGAGTGGCTCTAGCTGAAAACAGCCACAATTGCTTTGCCAATAGGCAAAAGATTTCTGCGGCTCCGGCTGCCGCCGTGTGGCACACACAAATTGCAAAAATTAAAATACTTTTCAAAAGTAATTAAAATTGTGTTGAATACTTTTTGGAAAGCTGCTCCGACTGGGCCCGAGGCGACGCAACGTCTGCTCTGTCTGCTTTGCCCAGCTGCTTTGGCAGTTAGTCTTTGGTGGGCCATTGATGTTCGACTTCAACTTCGATTATTGCGGCATATTTAAGAGACGAAAACTATTGCCATCTCCGTCACTCGCTCTAGCTAGCTCTCGCTCTCTCGTGTCGAGTTCAGTCGCCTTTGAGTGGAGAAACTTTTGCAATTTTTCTCTTGTGTTTTGCTTTGGTCTTTAGGGTTTACCATCTCATTTCTACTTGGCCAAGATCTGCAATATTTAAATTGAGATTTCTTTAAAGCCCGCACTGAAATTTAAACACACTAGAGCTGCTTAGTATTTATGCATATTTCGTATGGCTTACCAAGCGCTTTCTTCCAGAATATGCCGTCCAATTTGCAATGTCAGCTCTTAGGCTTTTCCAATGTCTGCAAGAGACTTGCTCGCTGCATTAGTCGCCCATGCCCCAATCGATCCCTTCGCCAGCTGTCACACTCACTGTATGCATTAAACTTTATAGCTCCACACACACACACACACACACACTCGTGCACAAACATAATACAAATGAGCAATAGCCCATCGGCTGCTGGTGGCTGGCGCTGCTGCTGCTGCTGCAGCAGCAAACATCAAACGTGTTAAGCAACTTCAAAGCTCAGCCAAGTGCATGAAATGCGTCGCTGCTCGCTTCTCGCTGCTCGCTGCTCGCTGCTTGTCGTTGGGGGGAGCATTGAACACGCCACGACTTTTGCAGCCAAAGCAAATTAAAAGGAAATAATGGCGCAGTGGCATGCAACGCAATGAACGGTGGCTGGCTGCTGGCAGCCGAGCCAGCAGCAGTCGCAGCAGACTTCTGCTTCTGCCTCGTCAGCTCGTCATTCCACTCGGCGACTAAATGGTGCACACGAAGTGCTCACGTGCACCTGTCGAGCGGGCCAAATGGGATATGGGATATGAGCAGCACGAGAATGGATGCCAGCAATGTGAATGTGAATGTGCTGTGGATGCATTCGAATTAAGGCACAAGTGAGTGCAGCTTTGTGCTGCCGTTCAGCCTGATGCTGGCAATTAATTAGGATTATGTGTGTCGTCTGGGCAGCGAGCGCCCAAAAGCATGCAACACATGTGCGACACGCCCACGCTCTGCCCATTGCTCGTCAGCTCTCTAATGGGCACGACGCCAGCTTGACTTCCACAGCGTGACAGACACTGCGCCTAAATAGTTTGATTAGGCAAATTTATGGCAGCACGCTTTCAGGCGCACTTAAGTATATAGTATATATGTGTGTGTGTATATGTGCATGTGTATATGTATATGTGGCAGCCAGTCGTAACAGCCAGCTCAATCAATCATCAAAGTCGATGCCTGCATATTTTTAATGATGAAGGCGACGGCCTCAGCAGACGCTGCTCATAAAAAATATTTGCAGCACTTGCAACTTGCATAGCAGCCAACTAGAGCTGCGCACTTTTCATGCTTAGTTCATGGCGTGTCACGGACAAGATGTCATCACTATTGGTTTAAGATGACAAAATGGGATTATAATCAGAGCTAATATATATTTATCCAAATAATTAATTATTATTTAATTATCAATACATTAATATTTCAAAATCCGCATAACAATTTATAGCACGCATCTAAGCAGACTTTATACGCATATTTATTATATTTTTTATTTTTTATTTATTTTTTATTTTATTTTTTTAAGAATTATGTATTGCAGCTTCTTGTCTGTGACTTTATAGCGCAGTCATCAGTAAACATTAACCTATATATGGGCTAGAAGACAGTATTCACATTGAAATCTAAATATTTACAATTAATTATTTTTGGAGATCAGCTTTTTATATTTAATTATTGATCAAAATTATTTTTAATTTTATTTTTAATATATTTATATATCCGCATAACAAACATTTCAAATAAGATCATAAGCAGAGCTTAAATGTATATTTTGTATATTTAATTATTTATATATTATTTAATTATGAATATATTTATATTTCATTTATATTTATATCGCTCGCATATATGCAAATACTCTGTCAAATGAGAACTTAAGCAGGCTTTATATATATTTATTATATCTTTTATATTTAATTATTGATATAATTATTTATTATTTTATTTTTAATACAGTTATACTTCTAAATCATCGCTCGCATCTATTCAGACACTCTGTCATCTCCATTACATAACTTTAATCAGCCGAAGCTGGCATACCTTCATTTTTTGCAGTCTTGGACCTTGGACCTTTCGCTTCTAGGCGCCCATTTCCTGCTAGCACTAACGACTTTTTAAGTATTTACACACAATTTGGCGCTTCGCGTTCGCGTTGGGAAAACTTTTATCGCAGACAGCCGCAAAGTATGCAACGGCATTTTCCATTTGCCTCAAGTTGTGGCATCTCCGCGCTGACACAATTGCTCAGCGTCAGAGGCAAAGAGGCGCTCAGCTAATTTTTCATGGCGCGTTTTTCTTTATTTGTGGCGAAAGTTTACGCTTCATTATCTAACAGCTCTAACAGTTCTAACAGCTCTGCCAGCTTTTCCACTGCTGCCGTCTTGTTTGTCATTTGCAGCTTGAAGTTTTGATAACTAAAAACAGCAGCACTTTAGCATGCAGCTAGCCCAAGGCGCTCATTCCGACAGTCCGAATCAGTTTTGCTCTTTCTATACTGGTATATGTATATGTATATGTGAGCTTGTCTCGCTGCTTCTGTGAGTGAGTGGCATTGTGGCACCTGCTGATAAGCCGCCGCCTTTAACGCCGCTCGAGCAAACATTTGCAGGCTCCAGTTCGCCAGCCGCCTCAAGGTGTGTCGCATGCAACTTGACTGCTAGTATGTACACTAGTTCCACTTGTTCTTCTTCGTGGCTTTCATGTTTTTCTAATTTTCTGCTTTTATGCTAGTTTATTTTTTTTTTTTTTTTTAGTGTAACCTGCTTCCACTTGTCTCAGTAGCTATGTGTTAACTTTTGTGACAGCCTGGCTGCAGGCAGCGGTGAAATTTGTGTTTGCTACGGTCAGTTACCAAAGCCTCTCCGAAGCTCTTAAATTGCATGTTTGCGGCTACGAAAAATACAGCAATAATAGTTGTTTACTTGAAAACGATATCTATGAGAGACTTTGTGCTGCCGTCAAAGCATTGATGCTTCACAAAAGTTATAGTAGTAGCTGGGAAAAACTTTTTTTTAGATGAACCACTTGATATCTTTTATTAAATACTGAATTTATATGATGCTAAAATTATAATATTTATATTTAGTTTAATTTATAATTCAATACTCTTTCATTATTTATATATTTCTGATTTGTTACTATCATAATTAATCTTAATATTATTTATATTTATATTATTATTAAAATTATTATTATTATTATTATTATAAATATTATTGTTTTATTTATTATTGTTATTAATATTAAGATGGTAAAAATCTGTAAAAAATATATATATATATTTATAAAAAAATTTTTTAATTTTAGTTGATGATTTTGGAGTAACCATAGATTTTTGTACATACGAATATTCTTATTCCGAGCGTAAAACATTTTGTGCTTTTATATGATATCATTCATAATAATTTTAAGACAGCATGAGGCTTACTTTTGATATAATAAAAAAAAAAAAAATTAAATTAAAAAATAACTAAAAATATAATAAAAATAAATAATAATAATAGTCAAAAAAAAAAAAAAAATGTATCAAGGACTGTGACCGAGTGCGGCAGAACTGCCTGCTCACCTGAGTGCAATTTTTTTTACTTGTTTTCTGCCTGACTGCTGCTCAATTGATCCGGAATTTATTAGGTAAATTGGCTTCCATATAATGGCAAATAAAATTCCATTAAAATTATTATTTCTACGATCAATAAATAAGCTCATTCATTGCATTGTTGATTCTAAGAGCCATTCAATGATTCTAATATTGCGTATATTTTTGCCGCACTCCACTTCCTGTTGTTCCCGGATTTTCAATGCTCGCCTTAAGCTTGGCTAAAGACAATGTCGATTGAGTGCGGCGGTGCAGCTGTTGTCTAGTCTCGGCTATATTTTGCACTCGTAGCTGGCATCAGAGTGAGAAGGAAAAAC